CATAAACGATTTAGTACCATAAAATCTTGTCTGTTTAAATGGCTTCATTTGTTTTATATTGATTTTGCAAGCTACAAATCTGTACCCATCAAACTGTATATGATAGTGCATACAAATTATCCTGAGCATATGTTTTTTTTTGGAGATGCATGAAATGCATTACTGAAGGTTGATATTAAGAAGAAAATATTACTGCAGTATTACATGTATTTTAGTTTATGCAAATGCAGGAATGTTTACTCACTGCATTTTGAACCATGCCAATGTATATTTTAAACAATGCCAATGTACTTTTGAACGTTGTCTATGTATGATACTCGTTATGAACTTTAGTGTTGGAGCTATATCATTGTGGAAATTATAACAGATTTAGATGTGAGTTTTGCCATAATTAGCTTTGGACTTCTGTTGGTGGTCATCTTTAAAAGTCTTCAGGTATCACAAAGGTTGGACTCAAACGACAAACAATGACCGAGATGATGTCCCATTACGAACAATACTCCTTGTTATCACAGAGACTATGGTTTTAGCATATGCGTTTACTCACAACTTGGACTGATACATTGGATCACAGAAAGAAACTGATGATACTTATTGGAAAGCTTTAATGACAATGTAATGATTTATGTGCAGTAAACATTGAAAAGTTTGATTTTCAAATTTTCATGAGATATGTATTTGCCAATAATTCTAGGTTTTGTGTACAATATTTATTGTAAACATGCTATAGTAAGTACATTTGGAATGAGATGTTCAGTAAACATTGAAACAGTTTGCTTTAAAAATTCCATGAGATATGTAATTGCCAATAATTCTATGATTTGTGTAGAAATTTTACTTTAGTAAATTGTTCTTAAAATGGGGGGCTAATTGTCACATGAGAATTAAGAATGATGTTACCCTGAATAGGGTGAGTTTTTCCTTTGGTGTTTGTATTTCAGTTACACCATGAATAAAGCCTCTTTGAGCCGAGACCTAAAACCAGTAAGATTAATTGTCGTTTTTGCGTGACACCATCTTATAGGATGAAACTGAGGACTGGGCAGAAAGATTCTCCTTCAAATTTGATTGATAAAGGTCTATCAGTCTATATCAAAGATTGAATTAATCAATGATATTTTGATTATAATTATACATGTTAAAATTCATTTACCTCTATGGACTTCTGTATGGGAAGTTTTGTAGATTATGAAATTATTGCTACTTCAAGTATTGTATGTAAGAAGGTTTGAAAGACAATACACTCTAAATGCATTAAATATGGAAACTGCTAATCCTCATTGCCTTTCGTATCCAAACTGGTAGCTTTCATAGAATCATGTTTCGATGCTTCCCAACTAAAGAAAACAGGGAGTGGGGGGGGGGGGGGGGCTTGCTATCCTCTTATCTTATCCTCTGTACAAATATGATTATATGTTTATATTAGAAGGATTTAGAAAGTGAAATTTTGAATTATAGCATTACTGTTGGTAGAAGTAATGGCAGTGTCGATTGTTAATGTGGGGGAGGGGGGGTTCCTGGTGAAATTTACGGTATGCCAATGTCAAATTAATGAGAGAAAACTATTCTTAAGAATAAAAATTATACAGTACATGGGCCTCCTAACAAAAACCCTGGTACCACTGTTGTGTTTTGAGTGTTTTTTTTTTTTGGGGGGGGGGGGGGCTGGCAAACCAATTACAAATTTCCAGTGTTAAATTCAAATTTTTTCTTTAACAAAATTATGTCAATATATTGTAATTAAACAATGTTTCACTTTCCTTTTTTAAAGTTAGATATTTGATAAAATGATTAACATACTTTCCGGTTTCTCTGGCCTCTACATTAAAAATGTTCTACTTCTAGCAAAGCTCCTGGAAAGGCTGCAAAAAGGGAGAGTGAAGAGAATGAAATTGAAATGTGGACAGTAATGGAGTGAATATGGAATGGTTGATGGTAGTTGATAACGAGTGAATGCAAATGAGTGGCAACAAGTACGACTGAAAGTGAGACAGAAAGGAATTGCAACAGGTTGCTCAGTCAAGAGAACAAACCTTGCAGAAGATAGTTTTCGAAAGACAGAGAAAGAGAGAAAAGGGGAATTATAAAAAAAAAGGAAAAGGGGGCGTGTGTCAAAGGGGCATTTATGAGAAAGGGTTGGGGTTGGGGCTCCTATTAAACAGGGAAAGGGGCACATATCAAAAGGTAAAAGGGCACTTGTTAGAAAGTTTAAGGGGACGCGTGTCAAAGTAAAAAAAAATGAAAGGGCTTTTATCAGATATCACAAGGGGCACTTATGAAAATGGAACAGTGGAACTTATTATGAAGTTAAAGGGGCATTTGTTGAAGAAAAAGGGGCACCTGTCAGATTTGAATAGTGGGTAATTATCGCCAGGGCCGTAGCCAGAGTTTGGGGGGGGGGGGGCACATACATGTAATTGATCGACGTCCTGGGGAGGGGTCAAAAAGAGTTCAACCGATCTTGGATTTTTTTTCTTCTTTTTTTTCTTCAATGTATGTGAAAGAATGTGTAGTTTTCTCTCGAGTTTGTCTCATCATGCGTGGGATCTGTGGGTGCTGGGGTTCCTGCAGCAACCCTGTACATGGATTTTCTTCAGTGGGTGCATATAACTCGTGGACTTCACATTGTAAACCTTCAAATGATGAATTATCATCGAGTCCCCCACCCCCCCCCTTCCCTCATTATTTTAGAAAGAAACCAAAGAGAACTTTTAAGAGAAAAAGAGAAAGGAAAGGAAAAAATGGTAGCTAGGCCTAAACAAAAACAAGAGGCAAGATAAAAGAAAACAAGATTGAAGATATGGTATCAATATTATCTTGCTCCTTTCCCTTTTTCTTTTGTCTTCTTTTCATTTCAATTTTCTTGCAATTTATTTCTTTCTTCCTTGGTATCTATTCCGTATTCTTTATTTCTTCCATTCATTTATTATTTATATATATTTTACTTTTTAACTTTGTTATTCTTCTTTCTAATCCCATTTTTCTTTCTTCCTTTTCTTCCTTATGCAGTTAAGTGAGCATAGATCATAGAAATAATTTAAGTGCAATACACAAGTATTTTATTTTTGATAAATGTCTGTATGTAGGCCTATTCTTGTTATCTATTTTATACAGTTTATAATACTGTATCACATATTCAATACCATAATGCAACCTCTGCTTGTAATATTTAAAAAGCAAACCTAGAACTGATTATTTACCAATTCATGAAAAGAACTAGACTCCCATTAATCTCAGAAAAGTAGGCCTAGGCTACTCACAAATTGCCAAGACTCTTACTTGAAATATATGCTATATATCTTGTCTACCGGTACTGACATTTTGGCATTTACTAGTAATTAAACACAGCATTTATGACTGTATTATCTAAATGACCATGACATTGCTTTTCTATGTCATATTATAGGCCTGCCATTAATCCAACGTACTTGTTACACACGATATTCGATGCTGCGCATGCCTCGATCATACATGAATATTCAAGAGAATCGAGACTTTCCCCGGCCCTGCCTAATGAATATTCATGATAAAACAGGAATCCGGGCTCGCCGTGGTACGAAAAAATAAGACGCCGCCAGGCTGGGCTGGTGAGCATAATTATTAGTTTGTTGATAACGCCATCTTCGACGGCTTGAATCAAGTGTGTAGGGGAATTATAAAGGACCGTGCAGATTCTGGACTAGCAACCGTAGCGCTCAGTGGATTCAAGGAATGTATCCTACCAGGTACCAACTTACTACACCTGGGTGGAGTGTGGCAACTGTAGATTAATGTCTTGACAAAGGAAGTTAGTGCTACGGGAGGGAGTCGAACCCATACCTTGTGCTTCATAATCCGGAGACTTATCCACTAGACCACAACACCTCTATGATAATTACAAAATATAAAGAGTAATATCCGAATAGACCCATCCTATTAGAATATTATCTCTCTCTATGAAGGTATATAATTTCACACACTTATTTCTTTCGACGGACTTGCAATAAAACATTTCGCTTGATCTCATTATTCGCTCTGGAAGGTCCACAAGAATACTTATTTGTGTCTCCATGTGTAAAAAAAAAAAAGAAAAAAAAAAAAGACCGAATTACAATTAGTGTTCTTAAGTTATAAATCCCTGAGACAGTCAACAATATTAATTAAAGTGAATTAAAATATTCTATAACTTTGGCAGTCGAGGGAACAACAGAGCGGTGTAAAAAACAGAGCGATAAGAAATGAAATAAGCAAGCAAGTCCAAAGGAATATGGATAACAAATTTAGCAATAGAAATCGATAGAGAATAAAATAAGAAGGAAAATAACAATTTTATAGAAAACGAATTAAAAAAAAACATCAACAACAGCATACTTTTAACTTGTGCATGTTGGCAAACAAGAACATTTCACATCGCAATAATTTTGAATTCCATGATCGACACTTTTAAGTAGTAGCCTAGAAACGAAGGCTGACAGTTTTCTCGCTCACTGACGCTCAGGGCCTGGTATTGAGGTCAGCTTTGATTACAAGACGTGCTGGTCAAGTTCCAATTTCGGTATCAAATACAATTTGGAATATCTGTCACCTTGGCCAATTATGAGTCGCTAAACAACTGTTTAAACCCTAACAACTCCAAACCGACCGATTCGGGTAATTTTTGTTCGGTGCTCTTGTCGCTCTGATGTAGGTTTCGTTTGAGTGACTGGGTATCAAACTGTTAAACCCGTTCTACATGATCCGCATATCTATTGATAGAGTAACTCCTTAATAGAGTGAAGAATTCCGTCAGCCCAGAATATAGGCGAGTTGAAAATCTTTAAAACCATCTTAATTTTGTTAAAAACCTTAAACCGTCCAATCGTTTACACAGTAAAACGTTTGAACAGTTAAATAAACCGTCAAAACTATTCGAGATTTTAAATCCCCACATGACTGTATACAAGTTACTCTTTCTTATAGAAAACAATGCCTAAGCGGTGCCCGTTGGTCCCCAATGATCCTCTTTTTGTTATATTAATTGAGAGCTGGGTTGATGAGATAACCACCTGTCAGTGACCTTGCAGGGAGGTCTAACTCCCCTGGTTAAACTAGTACAGAAGGGCTTTAAAACCGTTCTAATCCATGTATCTCCTCATGGAGTAGCCGCATCTTTGATTTGATGCCATCCCAGTCTAGGTATCCGCCTTCTAGGTGTCTCTTCTTACTCTCTTCTCCTTCCTGGACTCGGATCTGGAAACCAAGACGTCCATGAAGAACTCGACGATTGTCAAAGATTACCATGTCCCCTGAGAGAAAGGTAGAGTCGAATCAAGGTATAAAACTTTAATAATTATCATTAATATATGATAATATAAATATAAATTGAAATTGAATAATTATAGAACACAATTGTAACAATTATCATTGAGATATGATAATGTAAATTGAAATTGAATAATAATAGATCATAATGACAATATTTATCATTAAGATATGATAATGTAAATTAAAATTGAATAATAATAGAACACAATGATCGCACCTATTTCCGAAGAAAAAAAATCATAACTCAAATGCAGTTTCAATAACTAATGTATGTCCTATATAAAACATGTTTTACGTAATACGCCTTTGTCATGTTTGCACATTTAATTTCAAAAGGTGACGCTCAAGGCATTTTAAATTGCTTAAGGTTGATTTTTCGAAAGTATTTGCTATCTATTTTGCTCATCATTTTGTATTATTTTCGGTACCCTCGATCTCTCACTTCTTTTTTGTCATTGTCTATACTCTTTGTATTATGACCGTGTTCTTCTATCTTTGTCGTGTAAAGTATTTTCTTGTCCCTTTCTCGTCTCTGTTGGCATCCCCCTTTTTCTTTCCCCTATTTTGTAGTTCCTTTTGTAGTTACAAATCAGTTAATTTAATGACTCATTATTCCTAAGTATCATTTGAGATGTTTAGACTTGTACAAGGATTGCTTTTTAGTGGACCCCTCTGTTTCCAACATGTATTTCTTACATTTGTTGTAAATGCTTATAATTGATTTGTAATGTTTTGTTGGAAACATGAATAAATTTGAAATTTGAAAATTTGAATTAGAAATCCCAGCTGCCCTAGAGCACTCAAAGCATTCAAGGAATAATTCCTATCAGGTAACCATTATACATGGGCGGCGAAATTATGGTAAATTTGTATTACTATCTTGCCAAAGGACGTAAGTGCCGCAGCGGGACTCGAACGTCAAACCATGTGATTCACAGACCGGTGACGTATCCACTAAACCACACCACACATCTATCAGGCATCAACAAGGCTACCAGACCACGAACGAGATGTCTGGTATGTGAACTGTACAATTTTAGAACATCTTGAATAAAACACAAATACACCCTAAAAAACAAGGGACATTTATGCTGTCTGCTGTCTATACGTTCAAAATTCAGTTTCGAATCCTATACAACTAGCCACTACCCTAGTCTTTTCAAAGTAAATTATAAATTTTAAATCTCCCCTCGGCTTTTGATTAAACGTCAACTAGAAATCGGCGCTCCAGGATTATACATTAGATTGGATTAGATTGGACATGCAACACCAAGGTATGCATCGTAACATTAATATAGGAACCAAAAGAGAGAACTGTGACATGGTGCTATCATGTTTTGAATGTCTGATAAACAAATATAAGCCTTTTGGGGACCATCATGGTTCGCATGAAATCAACAATGAGGATTATATATTTGGGAGCCTCTAGACAGAATTTTTAAATTCTTTTAGGTGATCCTCAGGCATTGGCTGGTGCTAAATATCATTGTGTTTATGTTATATCATTTGTCAACCTTGTGATGTTTTGTATGCTATCATCTTGCCTGGAAATACAATAAAATAAATAAATAAATAAATAATATCATATGTATTATACCCTTTTCCATTTTGTAGTAGATGCAGTTTCTCTCATCGTACATGGCTCGGTGAAACGTCTTGAGAGCTCTGTAGCCTTCCGTGATTTCCTCTACAGGTAGAGACCAGTAGGGCGCCCTCACGCCATCATTGTAGTTGATACCCTGAAAGACACCATCCTGGTCATATCTGAAATGCGCATCCGGTAAATATGATTGAATGTCAAAGCTGGAAGGATTCCGAGGAGAACACTTATTTGTTTTTAGTTCATTTATGTTTGTTGTTTTGGTTTTGCTTTCGAACTTTCCTTGACACTTTATATATTGAAAAATCGGTGATGGAAGTTGTACTTATGATCTAGGGGTGTTGATTTTCTTAAACGCAGACGTCGAAGAAACGTGATCCAATGAAATTAAATGAATTACATTGTCGTTCCCAACTTCCCAATCAACAGTAAAATTGCGTTGTTGTTTTTAATAAACAGATGCAGACTATATTAAACACCGATTCAAACAGATTCAAATAATTTTAAAATATACTTCTTATCAAAACGTGCACACTATTACAGAAATGCAAGTCATTGAAATTATTGTGAAAGTATGTCTCTGAAAATAAATAACAAACTCATACAAATAAAGACCTCTTAACTATATAGACCATTTTCATATGGCTTATCAATCATTTAGATAATTTACACCTATCAAGCGAAGATGTTTCTTGAAAAACGTCATGACTTTGGTTACAGTGACAATACGATTTCATGGTATGGTATGGTATTTATGTTCCAAATCACAATTTAAAAAACAATACAGCATAATAGAGAATTGCATATAAAATCAAGAATATAGTGCATGGCTGGATAGCCCACTCAGCTTTGCTAATATGACTAAACTGTAATTCCTCGGGGTCCAGAAAATTAAATGAAAAGTGAACTACAAAACAAAATACCTAAATTCATGACTCACTCAATAACAGGGCGTTGTGTCATGGTATGGTAAGGAACATACTCAGCGCCTAGGGTCCTGAAGTCTACCTTCATCCTGGTTAAAGTCTGGAGGATCTTCGGGTACTCCTGCTCGAGCTGTTCGGCCACGCGAAGACCATCCACGAACTCGTTATCACCGCCTTCAGAATCAACTTGCTTGATACAGTGTAGCATCTGGACCTGCAACAAACAAAATGAATATAACATAATCACAAAGGATCCAGAGAAAACAATTTAAGGACACTCTTTTGGATGTCCAAAAGAAAACAGATATCGACTACGTATAACTCTTTTTCAATATTTCGAAAATTTCAAAAGGTGACGAGGCTATGGAAATTACTGACTGTTGATTTTTTTTTTGTTCGAAATCTGTCCGATCGTTTCATGGGTTGATAAGTTTGGTGACTTGTTTTTCCTGTAGTACCTGATACTTGATAACTGCTACACAAAACCAGGAGCTAGCAGGGAAGCTATATAGGAAACTTGTAGGAAGCATTGGTTGTGAAACCAATTTGCAAACAATTTTAAGGAAACATTCTGAAACAACGAAGACAAAAAATATCAACAATTTAAATTTACAAAATTTAAAGATATACAGAGTTAAAGAAAACGGGACGGTATCACATCTTAATTAGCCCATCCCTATGCATGATGATCTGATACAGTTTTCAAGGACATCCCAGTAGACAGACATTCAAAGATCCTGATAACTTTGGTCTTATAAACTCTCCAGAAGAAACCCAAATATGTCAGAAACCCCGCAGGACCGATATGTCGTTTTCGTGAACCATCACGTCACGACCTCTAGAACACTTTTCAGAAGGCCAGCCAATCGACATTGTCCTTCTCGTGGGCTGTAGCCATTCTGTGTAAAATCCCACTACTATAATTATATATGGCACACAAATAACCTCCCTATGCTACATCGTTTTCAACATAGGATAGATGTAGAGGTGTTGTGGTCGAGTGGATACGTCGCCGGACTGTCGATCACAAGGTCCGCGGTTCGAGTCCCGCCGCTGCACTAATGTCCTTTGGCAAGACATTGATCTACATTTGCCACACTCCACCCAGGTGAAGTAAATGGGTACCTGGTAGGAATTTATTCTTTGAAACGCAGCGCGTGTAACAGCTGCACTGCTAAAGCCAGGGTAATTATGCTGCATTATTGTAGAGCGCTTAGAGACATCTGACAAAGTAAGTGTTAGGCGCTATATAAGCACTGTAATTATTATTGTAATTATTATGCCAAATCCAGGCTTCAAGATTATTTAACTGATTCCAGTTTAAGATCAATCTATATCGGTGTTAACCCATCAAATACTGGATTCTTAGATTCCCCATGTGTTTCATACAGGAACCACCCGGTCAAAGGAAGCAATGGGTTAAAAGGATTGGCATGGAGCTAATCAAGGCTGGACATGGATCATTTTTTGCAAAGCCTTTGTGTTGAACGGTGCAACCCTCTGTCAATTGGAGTGTATTGTTTTGTGAACAATTGCAATTGTGGCAAACTAGCGACCGTGCGGACAGGCGAATAAAGCAATCAAAGTGTTAAAACGTAACCAATCTTACCCCAGGTGTGTTGTAGAAACCAGGCAAATCGACATGCAATCCCAATTGCTTAGCGGTGTACGCTAGACTGCAGGCATCATACATTGTTATCACATCGAAGATGTCACTGGTCATTGAGAAATAAACAAGCCACCAATCATTTATTATTGATTATTGCTGAATTAAAACTGCATTGAGAGTGGGGTGCAGCACAAATGTAACATGACAAAAAGCTACCATTAGTTGGGGGAATCTGTCTTACCAATGTAACTCATGGGGTAGTATACATGTCATGTAACAATAGACCAGTTCACGGTTAGCACATTACTGCAATGACCCCGAATATCCACAGATCTTCAAAACATGAAGAGGTCCCACTTTGTACATTGTGAAATAATCATTCCTACAGCGATGAAGGTGCTATATAACATAGCCTTTGTTTTCCCCTTTGAAAGAATACTTCCACCTGTGTATCATGGATTGCACTGAATGTGCAAGAATGAATAACGATTACATAACTTTCATGAGCACGTATCCAGTATTTCGTCTCCGTGTATTTCACAATTTGTTCTGCAATGACCTTGATCTGCTCATGCTCAGACTGCAACCGTGAACTCGCTTATTCAAACTACATCCATATGAAATATCACCAAGTATTCATCTGCAAGTATTAGCCCGTAACATTTTCTTGATTTCACTTCTGAAATTAGGTCTATATACGTAATTATGCCGTGTTGTTAACATCATTAACATAAAAAGCAAGCGACAATCGACTCTTGATACCTTAAAGAAGAAAACAATATCTGTACGAAACAACATATATATTGAGATGAAGGGGCCAATTCCTAAAGTATGAGATCAGTAGGGCGTTTCACAAAACTTTCAATGAAATCTAGGACTTGCTAAATTCGCCAAAATTGATTGACATCTAGCTTTGAACCCTACGTCTGGGACATTCACTCCCATTATCACCGCCTCAATTTTGTTTTCAAAAGTCCACTGCACCATTCCCCAGAATCAGACTGAACGAATTACCCGTAGATGGTTTTTCTTGTCCATGATACCCGCTCGTGTAACTTCGCTACGACGCCCTCTTCGCCTGGGGTCTCCTTGATTAAGGTGATGCCATCTGTAAGCAGTTTGACTAGCCACCCGTAGAGGGCCTTGTTGTCTTCCATGACGTCTTTGTACTTGAAGGTTGGGATGTCTGAAGATTTCTCCTTGCCCCAGGATTTGACACCCAGTGACTGCAAGGGATCGTAAGGTTTCTTGCCGAACTGATGCATCTGAAGGTTTGGAAACACAGACACACAAAATATCTACTTATTTCTTGAAGATTGAGGTTTGCTTGATGAGTAAGTATCATTTATTTGGTTATGGTTTCACTAAGAGGGAAGGAGGGCAGTCCTAGAAAAGACGGTTGGGTTTAAAGAGGATATATATACACCTAGAATAAAACATGCTTGGGGCGATCAGGCTTTCTCAGCCATGGGTCCGAAACTATGGAATGAACTCCCTCTACAAATACGTCAACTCTCGTCAACATAAACATTCAAATCACAACTGAAAACTTATTTGTTTGTTTTTCGTTGCAATTATTGCAAATATTCTAATTTACTATGTCTAGGAGAATTTCTAATTTCGTTTTTGTTTTTTCTTTCTTTTATTTGTTACATGTACTTTTCTCTAAGCGCCATGAGCACCGAAAGGTGGACCTGTGCGCTATAGAAGTAGCCACTATTATTATCATTATGGGTAAGGAGAGAAGAAGTATTCCTTCTTCTTTCTTTCAAGGCTACCTTAGGACCGTTCAGAGAGGAGTATTATTTTGAATGTGGGTGAATTTTTGCAAATGACGATAGAGCGGGTAAAATATGCTGAGAGAGAGAGAGAGAGACTCAAGGTTATGAAAAACTTGACCGATTATCACTTCCACATTGTGAAACACTTTTTGTAATGAACAGTTCTATGGCTATAATGATTGTTTACCAACAATATATTTAAAGAACTCAAATTACCAGGTAACAGTTGACTTACTTTGAGCCATTTTGCGGGATACGGGCTCACGTGACCATTAGGCCACGTGACCTGGATAACCTCCCCGTTCTGTACGACCTCGTGCCCGGTCGGTCGGATATCCGGGTCAATGTTGGCCATGAGTACGGAACGCTGGTATGAAGCCGGATGGAAGCAATCCGGACACCGGCAGTTGTCGAATAGAAAGACGTACGGAAACCGAGCGTTGTACCCATCCGACCATTCTATCTTAAACCAAGCTTTTTTGTCGTCACGGTTGAGTTTGGTTATTACGTCCGCCATGTTGGGTGACTCCTGGAAGTCTAATAAGGCAATGTTAATATAAACGAATCATAGAAAAATTATTTTTAAAAGGCGACTTCTCCCTCCCTTTCTATATTTCTGTAAGTAATTAATCTAAACATGTTGCCTCCTAATTTCATGATGACTTTTACATTTGTCAGTTTTTTTAAACTTGTTTTATTCTGTTGAAATTGTTTTCTGTTGCTGACAGTCTTCTCTTATTTTCGAGTTTCAAATGTTGTCTGAAAGTTCGGTCCCCAACTACCCCCCTTATTTAAGAAGTGAGCCGTTATATGTCTCTGATAGCATACCATGCCATACCTTTTAATGGTATAGGCCCTACCTTACAAACACTATCACGTTTGCATATTAATGATGTTTTTTTTAATAAAATCTGGATATTAAATCACGATGAAAGAGATAACAGGGCGTCTAAATAAAAGTAGAGCGGATTTCCCAGAAGCCAAAAAAAAAAAGATATATATATTATATCATACCAACAGAAGCCCCCCCCCCCCCCTCCCAACACACACACACTCCACAATAATTTAGAGGGGGAGGAAATGGCAACATGATAAAGATGGCGATGATTCTTGTACATTCAACTGAATTAGGAAACATTTTAAATGTAAAATTTGAAATTCGGAGCAGCTATATATACTCATAGACAAGTTGCTCGGGAATGACAAAAAGGTGCACTGCCTGGCTGGATGAAAGGCTATGGGGGCAAAGTACTATGCATATAATGACAAATTACATTTAAGTAGGTATATAGTTTGTGATCTATGTGCACAGACTTTTTGGCCTTCCAATGTTTATTTTGAAACTCATGTTTCTAACGGACGCTTTGCGTTTTTGGCGACAGATTATATAGGCCTATCCTTGAAGTTAGAAGGTTGGTCATTTGATATGTCCGACCGTGAACCCGTTTTAATGCTGTCAGCACTGATCTATTGGTGTTTTACAATGCTGTGCTCGAATACACACCGACGTCTACATGTATTATCATTACATTACATGAAATTGCATAAATTTATTGGGCAAAGTATAGGCTTTAGCAGTGTGGATGAGTATAGAGATCAAGGATTATTATACAAATACCAATAGACCCGTTGAGTAATGTTATGCATATACTCTGTTAAAGGTACTATGTCCCATTTACAGGCCAAACAAATGAAAAAGTTAAATTTCAACTGCATTTGAAAGATAATACTAATTTAGAACTTCCCTAAAAAAGGTGGGGATTGAAAATGTCTTCAAGTGGGAAAATAAAGACTATTAGTTGTCAAATCGACTTTAGGGCTATAGAGCCCAAAAGTAATAGTCTTGATTTTCAGACAATGGTCATACGTTTTATGCTGCGCAAAGATTCAATCAGTTTAATCTTGGCCATCACAAGAAGTGGGTTATTGATGTAGACAAATTTATGCTCATATACCCTTTACAACATGTATGTTATTACCAAAGAAGAAAAAAAGCCAGTCAGTCACTCAATAGTGACAGTGAAGTCTAGCAAGTAAACGGGTTTCCTTGCATAATTTGAATATGAGGACACTGCTAACGTTTACATTTCACAGATAGGACATACATGACATATTCATAATTCCTGCAAAATTCTACAGCATTTGAGGTTGGCTGCAAAAGGGACATAGTACCTTTAACGAAGGCCTGGAGACTTAAAAGCTTGAGGTCAGCGTATTCATTGTCCGGCATACCAACAACTAATGCATGCACATACAATTCCATATATTGAGATGCCATCATAGGAGGTGAATAAAATATTGATAAGCATGCGCACGGGCTCCGTTCGAGAGGAATTCATAATGAACAGAAATATATTAGAGGTCAATACCCCGTGGCATAGAAATCATGTCAATTATGTAATAATTTATCGTCATATTATCACATTTCAATATAGGTGAGCCACTGATTGATAGGTATATTTTTTTTCTTGAAAAAGGTATTTGCGATTGTATTCTATAGTAACGCAGCTGTTCTAGGTGTGCATACATGCTTTCACGTGTAATAGGCCTATATGCTTCTTTACATGGTAAATGTATTTTACATTAATAATCACTAACATGTGAAAACAATAAATTGCTATGATTATACATTAATAAATTATCTATAATCAAGGCGAAGTATGGTTATTACAATATCCCAACTCCCTGGTTATTATCATACCTTGGATATCATACCTTGGAAGTAGGCATAAAGTTATACAAAACGTTTTTGCCCTTCGGTGTCTGCTAGTGGGTTACTCTTGAATTTGGTATATGACTGTGACACTTTTATGGAGAAGCAGGATTACCCCGTATCAATTACCAACAACATGTCAGGAATTGCTAAATAATGATCTTACCTGCTTTTCCTCAGCACAAGTCGCGAATATTACAGCGATGAAATTCGTTGGTGGACTAAGGGAATTTCGGTCGTAGCACAAGCAGGCTGTTGTCGTGATAAACTGCACATGCCGAGCGAGATCTACTACATACAACCATGTACTGTGTATATTCATACGTGTATTGTATATTATATTATATTATAGATTCCGTACACACGTTCGTGTTTACTGTGCGTTTACAGTACGATCGACTATACTCCGTGTATAATATATCTCCAATATTGATCTGCACGTCGAGCATTAGTTCATGGGCAGTGTTTGACCATGGACCCTGTATTAGGTCCATGGTCAAACACTGCCGATGAACTAATGCTCGACCAAAATACCCGACCAGGCAATGCCTTTACTGGTACCTGAACGTATTACATGTATATATAGACGTTCTATTGACCCATAGATGGTTTGACCTTAATGAGTCCCTGGTTAAATTGACCATTGATTTATATGTCTTTGTGTTGTGCGAGTGGGTATATGTTGTTGTTGTTGTTTTAGTATTAAGAGCGTGTGTCATTCAATTATGAATATTTATCTCTCGTGGCGTAGTCTTCCCGCAAGGCTGAAGGGTATAATTATGACAGGAGACGATCACACGCGGGGGCGTCTTTAAAGCAAAGCGCTGTATGAATATATTATTAGTAGTAGTTCTTAGTAGTAAAAGTAGTAGCTATAGTAGAAATAGAAGTAGAAGTATCTTTATCGTTATTGTTATTATTATCATTATTAATACTATTGTTGAGTCGTGATGGTGGTGGTTGTTATTTTACCTGACTGCTAAGAAAGCATAAAATAAAATGCTTGTAAGTAAGGAACCAGTCTTATTTGTAATATCATCGTTATCATTATTATAATCATTATTATTTGTGTATAATTATAATTATACCCATCATTAATATGAAATTATTATAACATTATTTTTGTTGCTGCTGATGCTGTTGTTGAACTTACCTTTCTTTATCACCCTCTCTATCTCCCTCTCTATTCTCTTTCTCATTTTCTCTTTCCTTTTTTCCTTTCTCATTTTCTCTCAAGTCTCCTTGCCCCCCCCCCCCCCCCCCCATATCGAAGAGAAGATCATAACTTTCTCTTGCAAATGAGCCTTTTCTGAGCCTGAGTTAACGTATACATTTTTCTGTACGCAATGGCACAAAATATTGTAAATAAGTTATCGGACTGAAATAACAGTTCGTAAAGGCCTTTTCACCCACATTGAATGCTGCGGCCCAAAATCATTGATACACGGAGATGTTCACAGTACCTTTTGTAGAGGCAGCTGCCCAGTCATCCATGGCAGCAGCGTTATGAGTAAGGTAACACGGAATATGAGTTACTAGCTGTTATTCAATGCCATACAGGTTTTTATCTGTCAATGGGAATCAATCTAAGTTGGGTATACGTTTGTCATACGGACTGTATGCGTACATGATAACTTCTAAACAAATCTAAAGTCTACAACTTCCCTCCTATATCCCTACTTTCGCGCTCTCTCTCCCTCTCTCTCTCTCTCTCTCCTTCTTTTGATCAGGCTGCTGTGATTTAAGTCTACTCAAGTGCCTTCCACACCCACACTCACACTCGTATAACATATACTCACACAGATCGACATGCATGCACACTAAATTCATTTCAAACTCACAATCATGCCTCCCAAACACATTTCTAATTCCTTCTTTCTTTAACCTCGATCTCTACCGTTTTCTAAATAGCATGCACAATCCAGTTCATGCACACTGTACTGTATATTTATCTCCCCTATCTCCTTTTCTTATTCACACCCCAGCCCACACTCCGCCATCAGATCAATGTTAGAGTCCTAAGAGTTTATTGGTCATAGAGATTGACCAATAAAGCTCTGAGTAGATATAAACTCTAGCTATCAAGAATAAATAACATTGCGAATATCATTAATTTTCATGAAAAGGGGATTATTGTTATAACTTTAAGGGCAACAGTGCGATAATGATAATGATGACATTGATAATAATAATGATAATAAGTATAATAATAATAACAATAACAACATACACGAATAATAATGATAATAATAATGACAAAATTAAAGCCCTTTGCAAATGGTAGATCGATCCCCCGTGCACTGCCTCTGTGGTATGTATATGGGCCAAAAAATGGAGAGAGAAAACGACGGGTTTGCCGTTTACACGTGATCTTTGAACGGAGCCGTTATGCAAATTTTCAATGCGACGCTGGAGATACAAAATAACAATAGTAATAACTAATATAATTTTTACATTCATATCGTGTTTGGTGTGCACGCATACACACAACCCGGAAAGAGTTAAGTCTGGTAGGGCGTGACGCTCATATATGCGGGGAAGACCACGTTGACTTGAGTGTAAGCAATCTTGTATTTTACAGTAAATTGGCTGTTTTTCGGCGTTATAATATCAGTTTAAACATGTACCATTGCCAATGATACATGCCAACATTTGATATTAGCGTTGACGATGAGTGTTTTGTCTTGCGTGTGTTCAAGCAAATTGGAGAATGATAAACAGAATTGACTTCCCTTCTAAGTTTGATTTGGTGTAACGGTGTACACGCACATCAGAATATAAGGTAAGCGTATCATACAGTATTCCTATACCAATAAGCTTAGTGCTATACGTACTGGGGGGGGGGGGGGGGGGGGGGGGTGTTAAAAAGGGTTTCTCGATGTCATTTTTGAATAATTTTTAAATTTTGGATTGATGTAAAGATTCGATGTAAAGCAAATTCTCTTTTTATGTTGCTTTTTTTTTTGTACTGCTAGAGTCACTTTGTTTATGTCGGTTTGTTTCTGTGTTCAGTGATTTTGATGGGGAAGGGGGGGGGGGGGGGAGGGGTTACCCGAATATGGGTCTGTCCATTTCCGAGTTTAAGAGTGAAAGTTGTATCGATTTAATTCAAGTGCCTGAATTCGCAAGACAATTAAAGTATCAAATTTTCCTAGGCTACTTATATTGTATCATGATATCACAATGTTTATAAGAGAACATGCATGTAAGTTCACTCTCTCAAATGAATATGGGTAAACAAAAATATGACTGAAATACCCCAAAATGAAGAAGAAAAAAAACACTTCCGAGAAAAAACATGTAGGTTCTAGAGCAATGTCAATACATAGGCAGGAGCAGAAAAAAAAAGCCTGGTGAATTGGCTGTAAGTTGATTAGCTGAAAGTCATTGCAAAAGTGTCATTAAAACAAGACATCTTCTTTATAAAAGTGATACAAAATAAAGATTATTATTGCCAACACACTCTTTATTTCATGTGAAATTCACATTGCCTCAGGAAATGATCTATATGCCAGTGCACCTAAATATATTTGTTTGAATAATCAATTAATTAGCCGTTGATCTTCTACAAGCTTAAATCAATTTAATGTCAAAAATGTGAATATACAAAATGAACTGAAACCGGTTGTTCTACTGATTAATAATGACAATAACAATGTGGACTAGGTGCTTATATTATTCATTTTCAATATTTGCTATTATGAATACTACTGCTACTGCTACTACTCATACTACTACTATTACTACTACTACTACTATTACTACTACTATTACTACTACTACTACTATTACTACTACTACTACTACTACTACTACTACTACTACTACTACTCCTACTACTACTACTACTACTTCTATTACTAATACTACTACTTCTACCACTACTACTACTTCCACTACTACTTCCACTACTACTACTACTACTACTACTACTACTACTACTTTTCATACTACTGTTACTACTAATACCACTACTACTACTACGACTTCTACTACTACTTCTACCACTACTACTACTTCCAATACTACTACTACTACTACTAGTGCTGCTGCTACTGCTGCTGCTACTACTACTACTACTGTAGTAGTAGTAGTAGTAGTAGTAGTAGTAGTAGTAGTAGTAGTAGTAGCGTTCAATATATATAGCGTTCAATATATGTAGACATTAGGACATTTGTCGGTAATTGGTGGCTAGTTTTGTCGGTAATCGGTAGCCTCTACACCCCCCCACCCCCACTGAAGAAGGTATTACAACCCCGGCCCCTCCACTCAGTGTAATTTAGGGTACGCATTAGCCTTTTGACAAGGCCTCGTGACTCTGGCTAAGCGGCTGAGATGAGTCAAGATACCCGGGGTGAACGCGCGACCGAGTGACGAAGGTTCTCTCGCTGGCGTTCACTCAGGTTTTCGCGATTACTCTCTTTTTAGTCGCACGGCGTCTATCAGACATGTGGCCTTGTTTAAAGGCATAGGTACGCATATGCATTTTCCCTCCTTTTGAAAACACCCCCTAAGTCCGGTGTGTAAAGTCTTGTTTGTGTATGTACGAGCCCTTTACCGGACATTTTGGTAACACGCATGGTATCCCTCCGTTCACGGGGGGGGGGGGGGGGGGGGATTACAACATGTAATACTACTACTACATTTTCCCCATTTATTGCGTATGCCAAACAAAAATGTATCCGGTAGTCTTCGAAATAAAACACTGTGGGCTTTTCACTATTCTCTCATTCTTGTTATTTTATTATAGCGTACAACTTACAAGTACTAATACTCGTAGTACAATTACTACTAATAAAAATAAGGACTACTACCACTAACACTATCTACTTGCGCGGGAGGGGGAAACAGAATTCAGACGAGGATTAAGAGTCGAGAACGGAATAACGAATCGTCTTCTTTCTCAATTTATTTCTGCTCCGCTAAGTTTCTCACGACTTGGGCCATCCCCCTACCCCCTCTCCCTGCCGGCTGGACCCGCCCTTGTAAGGTGCATACGTTTGTTTCGACAGCACATACAAAATCACAACCCTCTAAAATGTTGCCTGTAGACTTTCGTGAAGCATCCCAAGTAAGTCCATTCGGAATGCCTCAAAGACAGGGCTTAGCTTAACAGGAATACGAAATAAGCCAAAATTGTGTCATCATATCGAAGAGAAGCTCATAATTTTCTCTTGCAAATGAGCCTTTTTTTAGCCTGAGTTGACGTATACATTTTTCTGTACGCAATTGCACAAAATATTGTAAATAAGTTATCGGACTGAAATAACAGTTCGTAAAGGCTTTTCACCCATATTGAATGCTGCAGTCCAAACTTATTGATACAAGGTGATGTTGACAATACCTTTTGTAATGGCTGCTGCCCAGTCATCCATGGCAGCAGCGTTATGAGAAAGGTCTCATTACACGGAATATGAGTTACTAGCTGTTTAATAGGAATTATAATTCAATGCCTTACAGG